ACTGACCTGATTCCTTTATAGCCAAGGATATGTAGGCAACCTTTGAAGCAGGGTTCGGTCAGACGGTTTTCAAATGCTTCTCATGGAGTGCTGAGCAGGCAAAAATCCTTCATGGTGCTCATTTATCTTTGCCCGAAAACCCTTCGTGTCTTCGAGCAAAGAGGGGCAGCTGTGAGCACGTGATTTTTGCCACGCTTAAATTACTCCTATAAATTCATTAAAATTAGGATTTTTCTTTTATTACTTGAATTTTAGGGAATTAATTGCATGATGTTGTGTATTGTTTACATTTTGTGTGCATTTTAATTGATATAATTTCAAAAATACAAATAGTATGCATTTTAATATTACAAAATAAAGAAAATAACAAAAATGGTTCTTTGCATTTCTACTCTTAATTTTTAAAAATTTGTCTTAAATTTTCTTTTAAAATTAGGAATTAGTTTGATTTTGAAATTTAATTAGTGTAATTTTAGAATCCATTTGGGTCTTTATTCTAAATCTTACATTTAATAAAACCAGAAAATAAAATACAAAAAAGAAAAGAAGAAAATAAACAAAAGAATTTGAAAGGATTGGCCAATTTGGGCCATTTTTCGTGTCAATACCCAGCCCAAGACCCCCTAAACCCGTTCCAACCCAGCCCAAAATCACCCCTGAACCGGTCCAGCTTCTATTACCCTCTAAACGACGTCGTTTGGCTTAGTTTCAATCTCGGCCATTGATTCTTTTGATCAACGATTGAGAACTAACGAGGTTTTTAATATATAAAGGTCGGAATTTACCCCCCTACCCCTCATTCCCCACCACAGACCATCCTTGATATCTCCGGCGTAACGCCACCGTTCGCCGCCGTGTTCCGCCGCCGGAAATCGCCTCACGGCGGCGGCCGGCCTCCATTTCCGTCCAAAATTACACCTCCTATTCTTCTCCTCCTCCTCGTTACAGATCCACAACCCGTTTCCCTCGAACCCCAACCAAACTCGTCGAATCTTCAACCAAAGTTTTCCGGCCAAAACTCAACCTTCTCCATTCACCACCAAATTAACACCACCAGACCGCCTGACCCTCCTCTACCCAACCCCCTAACCCTGTTCCTCAAATCTCGTCGGAACTGCTCGGATCTTGAGTAGAGGTTTTTCCAGCCAAAACCCTAGTTGCACCAAACCTTCCCAAATTGATGCCACATAGTCCTTGGACCTTTCCCATGAAGAATTCACGGTCAAACACATTCAAATCCCACTGGAATTGTTCAAATCTTGATTTGAAAAAAAAACAGCCGGTAAGTTTCTTTAAGGGTTCTTAACAGTCCTTTTATAGTTAATTAGTCGTGTAATTAGTTAGTCTAATTTTGTGTGTTTCCGTTTTTATCTGGTTTAATTTGTATCACAGTAGTTATTTGTCTAATAGAGTCTGGTTTATTTTATTTCAGAGCTTAATTGATTGCCGTTTTGATTGATTAGCTTTAAATTAGTAGGTGTCTTTTAAATCATCTTAGTCGATTAATTGTTTCATTTAGATTTAGTCGTCAAAAGTAGTTCATTCCATCTGATTTCATATTGAGTAGTTTCTTGGTTTGTTGATGATAATTGGCAACTCAAAGTTCAGTAGTTGGTTTGGGGTTAGGATTTGAGTTTGGATTTAGTTTTAGCTGATTAATACTCATTGTAGTGATTGCTTAACTATGGTTCAGGCAGGGTTGGGGGAGGTTAGTGATTCTAGGAATAAGCTAAGGGCAATTGGGGTAATTTAAGGGTTTGGAATCTGCTAGAAACTTAAATAAAGTCCATAGAACATTCTGGAATAGGCACTTAGTTATAATTTCAGGAAAATTAATAGGCTAACTTGGGTAACAAGTTAATAACTAAGGGGCTAAACTGAAAGTAAAAGAGGGACTAGGGTGAAAAAGGAAAATCTGAAGTTAGTGCCTATAAAATGGCACCCACATGCCTTGAACGGGAGGTTTCAGCCTCCAATTTCCCCAAACAACAAAAAACATTTCATTAGCACCAATCTGAATTTCAAATTCAAACTTCTCTAGATCTAGAGCTTCAAAAGCCCAAAAACCAAAAACAGGAGAAAAATAGCTGAAAACTCAAAAAATACTGCGCTATTAAGATTTCAGATTCGATTGCAAGTTGTAGGGTTGAATTTAGCATTAGTTAGCTTAAAATTTGATCGCTGAGGTTTGTTAAAGGTTTCTGGAGCTATTTCAAGTTGGATTTGGGTTTGCTCGAGTCAATTTTTGGTCTGTTTTACTGGTTGTTTTTCATTGCTGGGATTTCGAGTTGAATTGCTGTTGTGACTTGCTATTCGCTCCTGTTAGCCTGTCAACTGCAGCTAATCACTCCTTCTCTTTGCTTTGCTTCATTTTCAGGTACTTGCTTGATCTCCAATAGCCAAAGGCTAAGGATACCTGTGATTGAAGTTTTAACTTAAAAGGGAAAGCTGATCTGAGTGTGCGATTGTTTACTGTCCTGTTTACTCATATGTATTGTGATAAGTAGAGTGATCTTCATATTTCATTCCTACATGTGTTTGTTTAGATTAAGCTTCTCACCTGTCTAAGTTTTTCAGTCAAGCATGGCTCTCTCATATGTAATTAAGTTAGGACTGCTCTGTTATGGGTTGATCTAGTTCGTATTCACAGTTTAGTTCATGAACTGTAGTTGAAGAATTCCTTTATTGACTGTTTCTGCTTTGTGAGAATTTTTAATTCCATGTTCAACTGTGAATTTATTAAAAACGCATTTCATATCTGAACTAAAAGAAACGTTGAATCTCCTTTAATCCCATTATGTCAAGTACCATTTTGTTTAGTTGAATATGAATAGAGTTTGTCAATTCAGTCGTTTAGCTGCTTGGTGATTATAATCCTGTTGGA